GAGGGTGCATGCCTGCGTGGCGGCAGGCATGGCCATGTCTGCAGGGAGCAGGGCCAGCCCTGGCAAGCCTGCGTGTGAGAGCAGGTGTCGGGTCTTGGCCTGAGCCTAGAGGGGAGCGTGGGGGCAGCCAGGACTACAGAGGAGGAGGAGGGAAGTCTGCAGCCTGGGCCCAGCAGCCCTCCCCTCCCTGGGCTGCCCCATCTTTGGGAGCCATGTGAGGCAGGCTGGCTTGGAGCCTCCAGGGGACCCACCCAGCCCACTCCCAACACCCTCCACAACAGACTGTGCTTCCCTTGGGCAAGCTCCTGCCGGCTCCTCCAAGCTCTACCCTCCCTCAGGGGCCTAGCTCAGCTCCTCTGCCCTGAGCTAACGAGGCCACAAGGCCACCTCACAGGGCTGGAGAAAGAATCATCCCTTTGTCATTACAGCTCCCTGAACAACCCCCTCCTCACTTCCTCTACTAGTCACCAAGTCCTGCAGGACAATGTGGGCAAGTGCTGCTTGGCATCTGGTCCATACCCCCATCAAACACCAACGCTTGCCCTCTGTGGGAGTTGGGGAGGTTTGGTGCACCAAGGGGGCACCCTCTACCCCTCTTCCCATGAATCTCTCTACCAGAGTAGAGGCAGGAGGGCAGATTGCTATGTGCCTTCTGAGCGTAGGGAGGGGCCAGTCTTGGCCTCTTAGAACATGGCTTAGCTGCCTGGTCTCAGGGGCTGCTCCCACCTGCTGCCCTGTCCCAGGAGCAGCCACTGAGGGAGTGCAAGAGCAGGGGTTCCCCCATCCACCACAGGCTCAGGCCACAGGCCAGCACCTGGCATCAGGGCCAGCTGGGCCCCTGCCCCTCCACCACGATCTCCCAGGGCCTGAGATGCACATATTGACCCTCCTGGGGCATCTCTTTCACTCCTTTTCTCTGTCTGGGCCACCCTGGTGCCCAGTTCAACCCGACTTTATAAAACTGCTGGGGGCAGGGAAGTTGTCCACAGTGTCATTCAGCCCTGGGAAGCCCCCTTCAGGGGCCCTGAACCCTGCATTCTTTAACTGCTACCTCCAAAACCCTTCCCTGGACCTAACACCTGGACTCTATGCCCACCCCTGCCCCCAGAGAGCAGGAGGGTGAGGGAGACTGCGGTGGGGGAGGGGCATAGATGAAGTCATGGGGTGGCTGAACCAAGTGACATTTGGCACTGTGGACCGTGACCATAAATCCCAGCAATGAGCAGGGAGACAGCATGTGAGCCCCAGCGTGGGGGAGGAGGCGCTGCTGGGAGAGCCCTTTGGATCCCAGGCTGGGGGTGGGCAGTGAGGAGCCCCATCTTTGCGAAACCCACTCTGACTCCTCTGAGACTTCTGCACCTTCTCTCTGGTTCTCACCATGCCCCTCACTCTTGCTTCCAGGAGCCATCCAACCAGGAGACATCTCCCACCTCCCCCTCACTCTGCAGCCCCTCCCACAATCATGAACCCCCAAATCCTAGTCCTCCCTTCCTAGCCCCATATCCAGGTCACAAATGTCACACACCTCAGCTTGTGCCCCCCTCACTCCCATGACTGCCAGGCCCCAAGGTCCCACCGTAGGGCCTGCTGCTAGGGAAGGGAGCAACTCGGAGGAGAGGGTGCCCGTGGAGTCTGGGGGAGGGTCTCGGGCCAGCAGCGGCGCTGAGACTCTTCCCCTCCTCTGCTGGAGGTGGGTACTCACCCCCGGCTGACGATGAGGCGCAGCGACTCCAAGTTGCCGTGGTAGGCAGCCCAGAGGGTGGGGGTCATGCCATCCTCGTCGGGGGCGTTCAGTTCCTTCCGGGTGGCCTCCCTGAGGAGCTCCAGGTAGCCGTCCCGGGCCGCCCGGTGGTACTGGTCGTTCATGGCGCCCGACTTCGACGGGGTGGACAGGGGCACGGGGAAAGGCCCCCCCGGCGGAGGAGGGTGGCGGGGTTAGGACTGAGGCATGGGGTTGAAGGAGGGGACCGGGCAGGGGCCGGGGCCGCAAGGCCCGGCTGCCGCAGACAGAGGGTGCGGAGCGCCAGCGCCGCGGCTACACTGACATCTGAGCCGCTCGCCCGGCAGGAGGCGGGAGGATTTCCAGCGGCCCAGGGAGCCGCCCCCGGGCTGCCCCTGGGTCCTAAACACCCTGCCCCCGGGAGCAGAGGAGTGACACTCGCGCGGGCCTACCCTCTCTCCGAAAGTGCCTACCCCGGAGCCCCGCCCCGTGAGGACCAGTCTAGGGACAGTCCGCGGTCAGTCCTCACCAGCGCCCCGAAGCTGCGCCTCCGGATGTGTCACCCGTCAAGGGAACGGGCCGAAGGCTGGGAAGGGGTGTCTGAGAGCAGTCCTGACCGTTCGGACAGTGGGCCTACGAGGGGTAGTAGGACCGACCGCCCATCAGCGCGTAGGACCCAGCGGTCCTGGCCGCCACCCGCTGGCGTGAGGTCTGCAAGCCGCGCTCCAGCAGGTGGCGCTAAAAGACCGGGCGCGGACTCCGCGTGCGGCTGGGGAACTTGGTACCCACGCCCGACTTCACAGCCTCCGGCGGAGCAGGGGACGGGGAGCCGGATAGAGGGAGAAGGCATGTCGATCACTGTGAGGGTGTCGGGGACAGGGGCGGGAGGGTCGGATCTTGGGCCGACAACAGAGGAGCACAAAGGTATAGGGTGCGCCGGGGTTGGGAGGGAGTCGGGGTGCCCGCGGGCCCTTGGGGCGTCCACTGAGCAACAGCGCTCGGGGCAACTAGCGGCCGGGATCGCAGAGCGCCAGGGCGCGGTGGGCGCCAGGGGCGGGGTGCCCTTTGGGTGCCTCAGTGCAGGGCGGCGCTGGAGCCTGGCCTGGCGGAGGTGGCGGGGCGGCGGGGGAGGGGGCGCCTCTTGAACTGGTAAATATAAATCTCACCTTCTCTGGCTCTCGCGCGCTCTTCCCTAAATTCAGCTCGGAGAAAAGATGGATCATGTGAGTGGTACTGAGAGGTTCAAGGAGCTGAGCTTCTGTGGTTGTAAATCACCCTGCCCTCCCGGCTATAAAGCGCCCGTCCGGTTCGGCGTGAGAGAGAGGAGACGCTCGCCGCCCTCTGACCCCAAGCTCAGCGCGGGCTCTCGGCCCAGCCAGGTGGGTGCCCCGGCCGGAGGGCTGACGGGTTTGGGGAGTGGGGACCTTGGACGGGGTCCGACGGGGCTGCAGCCTCGCGAGGCTGGCAGGCTCAGCTTTTCTCTTACCCATTTCCCAGTTCTTCCTCCATCACCCATCCTGGGTTAGGAACTCCCCCTCCCCACCCTCACCCCCTCCCCTAAACCTAGCGATAAGATGGGAGAGTGAACTTGGGGTCCTGTCCGCTCCCCCCTCACAGTGACCCCTCCAACCTTCTCCAGTCGCCCCTGTCATGTCCGAGGAGCTGGCCGCCGGCCCCAAGGAGAGCCCGCCAGCGCCGCCGGCAGGACCCCGCGAGGGATGGAAGAAGGGCGGCCGCCTGCTCTCCGTGCTGCTGGCCGTGAACGTGCTGCTTTTCGCCTGCACGCTCATCAGTGGCGGCGCCTTCAACAAGGTGGCGGTGTATGACACCGACGTGTTCGCGCTGCTCACCACCATGATGCTGCTCGCCACGCTCTGGATCCTCTTCTACTACCTCCTCCGCACCGTGCGCTTCCCGGATGCTGTCCCCTATCGAGATGCGCACGCCGGACCCGTCTGGCTCCGAGGTGCCAGGGAACGTGGGGGCGGAGGTGGGGTGGACCAGGCAGAGAGCTGGAGGCTGGCGCTCTCCAAGGAACTGTAG